AAGTTTCTAAAGATTTTAAATGTGCTGATTGTGATTATGGGACAAATGATAACCGTTGCTTCAAACAACATCTTTTAAATCATACAATTTCTAAGGTTTTTAAATGTGCTGATTGTGATTATGGGACAAATGCTAAACGCAACTTCATACGACATCTTTTAAAACATAAAGTTTCAAAGGATTTGAAATGTGTTGTTTGTGATTTTGAGACAAACGATAAATACTACTTCAAACAACATCTTTTGAAACATAATGTTTCTATGGATTTGTGGAAATGTGGTAGTTGTGATTATGTGACAAATACTCAATCTTGTCTGAAACAACACCTTTTAAAACATAATGTTTCTTATGATTTTAAATGTGGTCATTGTGATTATGAGACAAATGTTAAAACCCATCTTAAACGACACCTTGTAACACATAAAGTTTCTAAGGATCTTAAATGTGCTAATTGTAATTATAAGACAAATTTTAAAACCCATCTTAAGCAGCACCTTTTAACACATAAAGTTTCTAAGGATTTTAAGTGTGATACTTGTGATTATGGGACAAATGTTAAACGGTACTTCAAACGACATTTTTTAAAACATAAAGAGTCCAAGGATTTAAAATGTGCTAATTGTGATTATGAAACAAATGATAAACAATACTTCAAACAACATCTTTTGAAACATAAAATTTCTAAAGATTTTAAATGTGCTACTTGTAATTATGGGACTAATGTTAAACGGGACTTCAAACGACATTTTTTAAAGCATATAGGGTCTAAGAATTTTAAGTGTGCTAAATGTGACTATGAGACAAATGATAAACAATGCTTCAAACAACATCTTTTGCAACATCCGATTTCTAAGGATTTTAAATGTGCTGATTGTGGTTATGGGACAAATGTTAAAGGCAACTTAAAACGACATCTTTTAAAACATAAAGTTTCTAAGGATTTTAAATGTGCTAAATGTGATTATGAGACAAATGTTAAAGAATGCTTCAAACTACATATTTTAAATCATAAAGTTTCTATAGATTTTAAATGTGCTGATTGTGATTATGGGACAAATAATAAATACCTGTTGAAACGACATCTTTTAAAACATAAACTTTCTAAGGATTTTAAATGTGCCAATTGTGATTATGGGACAAATATTAAAACCCATTTTAAACAGCACGTTTTGAAACATAAAAGTGTCTAAGTTTTAAGTGTGCTAATTGTGATTTTGAGATAAATAATATAATTATGTTCTTTTCAATTTTGACCTCCATCTTGTAGAGAACACCTAAAGATGATGTTAAGTCGAAACACGTAGTGTCTGTCCTTTTTTTTACACTTCATGTACCTAATTATATTGTTTTGAGTCCGTTTGTTCTAACTTTATAAACTCTCTTCCCATTTCGAGTACAGAATGAACTTCATACCAAATCATTTGGATTGATTAGCGACTTCAATTCTTCGTGTACTAATCTGCCTTTTTTTAGTGTAATTAACTTTTACATCACAACTGCAATATACAAAAATTACAATCAGAGGAAATAACTTGAATTTGAATACCTAATTTAAATTTGACGTTAATTTAATACAACATTTGATACGCCAAAATGGTCAGCTCACTATAGATTTCAAAGGGACTGCACTTCTTTTCCATTTGTAAATAATAGGTAACATTTCGAAGTCTCTTACGTAAAGTACGTGAAATACATTTTTCATTAGCTGGACCTTCTACAATCCAGAAGGTATCTGAAGGTCTAGGATACGGTACATAACCTTCAACTAGATATTTCGGGATTAATGCCGCAATAGATTTTTATCCCTTCGGCATCTACCTCTGCACAGGCGAAAAATGTGTTAATGTTACCTCTTGCTCCAGATTTCTCCCCAATATTTACCCTCTGTGAACAATGATTCGGAATTTTCTTCGCCTAGGTTCTTTTATCAGATGAGTATTTCTTTGGCTTTAAATGCATTCTGTCTAAATTTGTAGGAACTCTAGTCGGCATTTTCATTCATTTTACACTTTTAAGTGATTGCAACCTACCTTTCGCACCGTAGGGAATCCGGCCATTGTTCAGTGAGAGGTTTGTATTACTATCTGGTGTTCCGAGTTCGTGTTTTTCCCGCTTTTTGTTAGCGCGGGAGCTGTCGACTTGGGTAGTGTAGATCACAACTTATGCTCATATGTCTATGGTAAGGGTAACCGATAATATCAAATATATGAAAAGTTTCAGAGCCAAATATTAGGAGGTACTATATAGGTGCGTTGGTTTATACGTTCCGATGACTCTTTTTGCACAAAGCGCTCGTTTATTGGTATACCAGAAAAAACGTTAACTCGGTACTCAACTGTTTCATTACTTTGATTGCAAAATGATGCATTTATAGTAATTTGAAAGGGTATACCACATGTACCTATAATAATAAAAATGAAGTGGAAATAAATAGAATTAAACTGCAGATTGAAAATCATTGATTTGTAAATTATGACAACGGATTATTTTTCATCAACTGAATATCCGAATCCATCATATCCTTAACTAATTCCTCAAACTTAATCTTCACTTGCCACCCCAATTCCCGTTGGGCTTTGCTAGAATCTCCAAGCAGTAGGTCCTGAAACAGAAGAGTTAGTGAAAATGACACAAGACTTCCAATCTTTCCTTTCGTACCACTTCAGTAGGTCGGAAATACTTCGCGTCCACTTTAACACGGATTATTCCCGTATCCTTCTCCTTTCCAATTTCGTTTAAGCCTTCGCCTTCCCAAACGATTTCTTTCCCAATGTAGCGAAAGACGGTTTCCACAAATTCCCGCACGCTGCGAGTTTGTCCGGACGCAATCACGTAATCTTTGGGAGCGTCCTGCTGGAGCATCAACCACATTACCTACGAAAAAGCTGATCATAGTGAAAACGCAGGTGAATACCGACTTCTACGTAGTCCTTCGCGTGGCCCCAGTCTCTCTTCGAGTCCAAATTTCCTAGAACGACGTACTCTGAGAGACCCAAATGGATTTTGGCAACTTCCCTCGTAATTTTTCTGGTAACAAATGTCTCACCGCGCCGCGGACTTTCATGGTTAAACAAAATTCCATTACAAGCGTACATATCGTAAGCCTCCCGGTAGTTGATGACAATCCAATAGGCATACAACTTAGCGCAAGCTATTAATAAGAGGCTGTACGGCGAAGTGCATTCTAGACCGTAATACTTACCGTAAGGAGATCTTGGATAAAAAGGCGTGCTTTCTGTTTGAGGAATTTCCTGAACCTTGCCATAGAGCTCGGACGTAGACGCTTGATAGAATTTCACCTTTTTCTCCAGGCCGCATGTGCGTATCGCATCTAAAAGCCTTAAGGTGCCCACCGCATCGACTTCGGCCGTGTATTCACTAAGGTCGAAGGAAACCTTTACGTGACTCTGCGCTCCTAAGTTATAAATTTCACGAGGGAGTACTTCTTTGATGATCTTCACGAGGCAACTGGAATCGGTAAGGTCACCATAGAGAAGATGCATCTTTCCTCCACTGTGCTTATATTTATCATCGTACAGATGGTTGATTCGAGAAGTGTTAAACGTACTGGAACGCCTAATGATTCCATACACTTCATATCCTTTACTTAGTAAAAACTCAGTCAGATATGAACCATCCTATAAAACAGAATTAGGTCCTTAGAGGGTGTAATAACGACATTTCAGCTAAACGCGTGGGTGCACTCAAGAAGAAACAGATTCTTCATCGACCGCAATGGTTTTTGGACCTCAATTATTTAAGTATTTATTATAAAGTTTTGCAATTGTAGAATTCTGGAGGTTCTTCATTATGTTCTAGAAATTTTTATAGCCCTTAAAAAGATTTCAGACAATTATAAAAGTCAATTTTGAAAATATGGGGTGAGTGACTTCACGCAAATTCGTAATTTACGCACTAACAAAAAATTCTAGTACTGATCTCATTACCTCTCTTAGTGCCGATTTATTTTTATTTTTAAAAGAGCGAGAGGTCCCGAAACGTCGTTCCACCGTGTTCCTCCTCAAATCGAGCACTGCTAATTAATACCTAGGGCAATACATTTGGACCTAATAAACGACTGTCCACGGAAGGTTGTTTGATAGCGATCAAAACGTAATAGAAGAGAAGAGGATGTCCAAAGGTTCTTTATTCAGATAACGGAAGACCGCGGAACGTCATTAGCGAACAAGATTTAATATCAGGAAGACAATGGAGAAGGGCAAAGGAATTATTAGTAAATGAATTTTGGAGTAGATGGGTGTAAGACTATACTCCAACTCTAACGCGAAGGACAAAGTAGTTTACAAATTAAAGAAGCGGAGCGAAAAGTAAAATCTGCCGGAGACTTAGTTTTAATTGTGGATGGTGGTTGTAGGAAGAGTGGGAAAAACTTACCCAGGCAAGGATGGGGTTGTGTAGGCATTCACCCTTGCACACTTGGGTAGTAGGCATTGGGAGTAGTCAAGATAAAAAGAAAATATAGCCGACAAATAAAGAATTCCTTTACTTTCTCAAAGGTCTTTGGACGTAACACCCTGTATAAAACTGACTAAGAACGTTAAAAATAGTTGCAAACTTTGTTGAAACGCACTGTGTGGTAAAAGTACACGATTTTCACGCCCACTTGATAGTTAAATGGTGTTTGGTATCGTTATCGTATTGTATTAACAAAATAAATGATATGTACTGATAAGCAACTTTGAAGCTATGCAAAGGTGTGTTGCCATGTGCTTTAGGTACATAGAAATAAAATAGCAAATTATGAACAATTGATTCATAAAATTTCTCGTACAGATGTATTTATAAATGATGAGAACCTGATCACGGACGTAACTGATTCAAAAAAGTAGAAAACTACTTTACCGAACAGGTAAATCCTGTCATCGTCATCTGTCAAATACAAATCATTTGTAAACGTCAAAATACTCATACGAAAGTAATAAATTAATGATAATTGTCTCACGGATTTTGGTGGGTGCACAAAGCAAAAATCATTGAGAAAACAAAACTTACCTGCCCTGTAATGCCAGTAATCAAAGCAACTTTCTCATTTTCAGAAGTCATCTTGCCAACTCCAGTAGGTGATTAAGCGTCAGCTGTTAGTGCCACATACAATGCTTATCACAAAGTAATTACTCAAAGGTAAATATACCTTCAATATTTCATTCATTTGACACAATTTATACCTTCAGCGTTTAAATGTGGCCGCCAATGTTTACGGTTTTTCTGCCCTTGGTCGTGTCAATTGTTCTTGTTCACGTAAGTCACGTTTGCTTGTAATAATTGTAATTACAAGTAACTTTTTCTAGGGTCAAGCATATGAGAACACTCGATGTATTTGCGGATGTCCCAGTATTGCGCTGGTAACAAACAGTACAGATGTCACGTTGAACACTCGTAATTTTCATATCGCTAATGTGCCACCAAATAAATGGTAGATGACTGATAGATGCAACCTTAAATTTACTTGTCTATTTTAGTAACTGCGATGGGGTGATCGTGCCAAAGCTCGGTGACAAGATCAAAGGACGAGAGAACGAGTTCTGCCCCCGTTGCGAATGTAAATATGAGCATCGTAACGTTACCATTATTAAAGTTGTGGTCATAATCGTTATATGGGTTATTTCGATCCTGGTAATATATATGGCTTTCTTGATTATCTTGGATCCGCTATTGAATAAACGCGCCAAAGGAAATTATCAAGAACATACAAATGAAGAGGTAATCTAATTAATGTATAGAATCGTTGGTATCTAGTCTGTATAGGATGAAACG